AAGGCAGTCGCTGACAGCCAGTGGACGATGAGCCAGAGCGCCATCTTTTGCCTAAACACACCTCGCTCCTGAACCTCGAAATTTTCTTCAAGAATGGGGATTACATCATCACGGGGATTACATCATCAAGGTAATGCTGGCCGTTGAGGTTGCCATGAAAAAAACACCAGTCCGACGATGCGGCCACTGCCACAAAGGCCAACCCAGATACTCACTTTCTCATGTTGAAAGTTGCGCTCGTAATTGAAGGAGGTGGATGTTGTGTGGGGATATACATGTTTGTACTCTTGAACATTGTGTGCGTTGACTTTTCTGTCGAGAGAAAATCCAGCTTCATCATCGATGACAAATCCCACATCTGCTTGCACCTGGTTGATGACCCACTGACAAAAATTCATCCGTCTTGGCAAATCCGACAGTAGCAGCCGATGTCACAAGCGCATTTGGTAGGGGTGCATGCCCAGGTCCAGCTGAGTGATGCGATTGAATGTGGCATGTGGTAGGCCCAGTCCATTCCATCTCACACTGACATGCGGGTTGGCATCCAGCTACGCCTCCACCAGTGTTATTTTTTCCGCCGACCTCGCTGTCAAATGTCGCCAGGAACACCCTCGATTAAGATTGAGGCTGGTACCCTCCCTCCGGTTCTTTCGCAGGTTTCTCCAGATAGTGCTAGCTGCAGCTGGATCTCGATCTGGGAATCGCTGCATAAATGCATCGATAACACCATTTACTCTTCCAGTACGGATGTACTCCATGACACAAAAAACTCTCTGCTCGTTAGTTAGCTGAACACCGACCATGATCAATGTCTGACGAATAATAGTTGACAGTTCACAATTACACAAGTTAATTAAGCACATCTGGAAAACTGTTTAGCAAGTAAACACTTTTCTTGCTATCAGTTTGTAAACATTTTTACCAGCTAAATGCACATGTCCAATTCCTAAACATCAATTTTCAATGGCTAAACACTATCCGTCCTCCTGCTAAAAATGTTTAGCATGTAAACATGTTTACAAACTGATAGCAAGAAAGTGTTTAGAATTGTATTTTCTCGCTAAACACATGTTTGTAGGCCAGGCAATTATCCACACAGAAGCAATTAGGCTACCTTTGTCCCAATGCCTAAAATTGAAAACTTGGTCCCATGGTCAATTTAACATCTCTTGGAAAATTACTGTTTACTCTGTCCAAAATTATCAGATTTGGACGTTTGATGTTCCATTTTCAAATGAAAAGGCATATATTTCTTTCAAGCCATACCTATATTATCTATGTTGATTACGCATTCTACATGTAAGACTCAGTGGTACAACCAGGATTTGGCTTGGGGAGGGGGGGGGCTCATAATTTTTTTTCCAAATTTTTTAGAAGTTAAATTTTTTTCAACAATTTTGCCCTAAGGCTGCGTCTTGAAATTGAATGGGCGTCAGCACCCGTTCTTTCTGAAGGATCCTTTTTTAACAAAAGAGCCCTTGACAATCCGTCCCAGCACGGGCCAGAACGCTTCATTTAAATAACAAAAGGTATGAATATGTCCGATCTTCTGCAGACCCGCTGGGCCAGGCTCAGTGCCAGAGAGACTCATCTCACCAGCACATGAAGGAATGTGATGTGACTAGTATTTTAATTGCGCAGTAATGTATACAGGTTCAACCTTCACGCGAAGCGAAGTCAAAATTACGTCTTGACATTTGCTGCAAACTAAATTCACCATTGTTAAAGTGATCAACTTTTAATATGCGCCAAAAATTGGCGTTGGCTTTCGCACTAGTGAGACCGGCCTTTATTCATCAATTTTTCACTAGCATTCACGAATTCTCTTACCAAAGACTAAACAACAAGAGGATTTAAAACCATTGTCATGATATAAAAAATACCTTTGGTTCGAGTCACCCACGCGACGGACCCTTTTTTTTAAGCGAAAAAATGCGACTCAACAAAATGGTATTGGTTTGGATGGGGAAAAAAATATTACGATAACGACTTCTAATCAAATTGGTCAAATGCAACATCGCCGATTGCCCAAAAATGTATAAGCCTTTTCAGCAAGTGATTTTTTTCTGGTTTTATCCGAAAGAAAACATGGTGGTTTAACGTCAGTTTGCGTATCCAGTAAGTTAGTGTGTCGTCATCTCAATTCAACCATGTGTACTTCACACAAGGTAGCATAGCAAAGTAAAAATGTGCCAAGCATTCTGAGCAAGTCAGTGTACCAGACGTTTTTCAAATTTAAATCCCAAAGGGCATCTAGGTCACTCGCTTATTGTGACAACGGTCGCGAGAGTTGCAACCTGACTGATAGTCTACTACCGCATGTATTATTGTACGCGGATGGCATTGGTCCATTGCCAGACTTACATGAAGTCTGGCACGCAGTAACAGTTATAACGTGTGCACGCATGTTGCGTGTTGTTGCGTTGTGTGGAGCGGGATCGGCCGTTGCCAGACTTGCTTGACACGTGGTAATGTGCGCACACATTATCCCTGTTGCTGCGTTGTGCAGATGTGGAGAGGGATCAGAACTATACTTTAACCATGCCAAACAAGTAATGAACGGTGGGCTGTGTGGCATTGTCTTGCCGCATCGCGGTGTTTTCTTCGCGCGTCTGGACAGAATGAAGGTCAGGGGAAAAAAATCGCAACTTTGTTGTTATGAGTGGTATAGACCTGACTCAAAAATCAAGTTATTGTTTATTAAATGGGGATTCCTTTGATATCAATTATTCTGTTAGTATTGAATATTGAGATTTATAAATTATGTGAAAATGATAATGTCAGTCTTACAGAATTGAAACTCCTAAGTTGGCCATTTTGATCAACTTGGAATGCAAACACCATTGATTTTGTTGTGTACTCCTCTTTACAGTGACACAATAATTGTATAAGATTCATAAAAAAAAAATGAAATTTACCGTTGTGTATCTTGCTTCACATGTATTGGCTCCAGAATTTTTTTTTTTTTAAATAAAATGTCGTGCCGACCGACCGACCAACCCAATTCTTTTTTAACCTTGTGACATAGAAGACGTGTGATATACTCCGCTCTTGCTGTCCACCATGTCTAGGAAAGATTTCGGAGCTTCAGGGCATTTTTGACTTCTTCTAGATATTTGCTAAGTACAGCATTCCACTTTGTGCTACCCGAGAAGAACACCTACAACTCCTGGATCACATTAAACATCTCCTGCATAATGAGACTGCTGTTGCAAGCATGCTCAACATCAGTGTTGGTCCTGTGTGCCTGGCAAGGTACATATGGAACATGCCTATCTTTGTTTATGGCTTGGACACCATTTCTGCAACTTGACAATATTGGATGCAAAATCATATGACTGGAAAGCCAACTTCTCGGTATCCAGACCATTCCCTTCTAATGGATATCTTTTGCCTGACCCTCACCAGTCTTTCCCTTGGTTTCTCTGACTTTCAAGAGACTTTATTTCACATTTCCTTTGGCGTCAACAAAGCGAACAGCAACTGCCATTGGAAGTATCAGGGGTTCCAAAAAAAGAGAGAAAAGTACGGCCGCACTCACATCCTCACTAATCTGGGAGTGGACATCTATGCCCAAAAGATCAATGAATTCATTCTTGGAGGTTGGACTCAATGTATGTTGTGTGGTAAGGTCGCAGACGTTTCTCTTCAAGCCACTGTTCCATCACTGGAGAATGTTGTGCCAACAGTTGGATGATCTGCCACAACCAATATGTAAGATGTAAACATCTAAGTTATGAATAAAGTCAAGTAAATACTCTATATTATATCAAATTCCATCAGTTCGTTGAGTGCGGAACTGCCAATCCAAAGTGGATCGACAAATCAATAAAAAAAACAAGTGGAATTGGTCATAGTGCGACAAAACTTTACTAACGAAATCAGAAGATGGACACATGGTCGGCCGACTGCTTTCATTAGCTTTATACTCCTGCAGAAGCATGGTGTGAGTAGTGTTGTATTCCCATCCAAAGCTCATTAAATTTCGAACTGTTAATAGCATGTAACTCTTTGGTTGTAGTTCAGATGAAATAATGTGAACTAAAAACCCGAGAGCTGATACAAGAAGACAGGTCAGGTTTGCTTTGTTTTTGCAATGTTGTTTGAGAAAAAAATGAAATGTATGAAATTATTCAGATGATTACTTTGATTTCTTAATCTGGTACATGTAGCTGCTTTTACTGTAGTATTCATTGAAATTGCATGAAATTGATCTCACAAACTCTTCTCCACAGGTTTCAAATATGCTAAAACCCAGGAGCTTCAGGGGTTGACCCCCGGCCATTGGACGCTCCATTCGCACCACGCTTTATTTGGTTACAAAATATTTTCCTTGGTTTTTTTTATCAGCACCCATTCTCATGCATGTAACTACATAACGAGACGAAAAAGTAAATAAGGTTGGTTATGATAACCAACGATACTGAATGAAAACAACAAACGCGATGTAATTGATACTATGAGCAATAAATGCTGCATATTGCTGGTCTCGAGTCGAGACCCTGACAATTTCTTTGGAATGACATCCTGTGTCACTGGAAGTTCGAGATATAAAATTTGATGCAAGTACTGAACACATTAGTGCTCGTTACATTCAGGAATGTAAGTGGAAGGTGTCAAACACATTGGAAGCGATCCGTGGCTACATGTATGTATATAGCCACGTTCACAGGTCTAGCACACGGGGTGCCAGAAGTAGATCCAGACCCAGATCAAGATCACTTCCAAAATCTGATTGATTTGCACTTGTACCAAGGACCACCCCTAAAACAATTCTCATACAATTACGTACATAACTTTTTAAGTTGTCGTGTTAACAGACAAACCAACCAACAGACCAAGGTATAACCTCCCAGGCACAGGTAATTAGAAAAAGATTGACTGATGTACCATACATGCCTTTTTGTAAATTATACAAAACAAATTGCTGTGTGTTTTTTCCTTCAGAAAAGAAACATTACAAATCTAAAAGGGGATATTTTTTCTTTGTCATTATTCAGGTGTTCAGAAATGGTATAGAAGTGTCAACATTAGATCTCAGCAATGAAAATGCATGTAGCTGGATGATGTTTGTACGGTTAGCAACTACATTTGATGAACAGAACTTGGTTGCCTATCAGTTTAACGAGGACATCTACTTCGCTACTTGTAAAGTAAGTGAATATAGTGAAGCAAAATCAAATTTCCAATTTTTAGAATATTACTTTTTTTATTTATTTATTATTATTATTTTTATTATTTTTACTTTCTTGGATCTGTTGTTAATATTTGGGTCTTTCCGTGAAGTTGGGATATGCTTGTAAGATTTTAACACAGTTTAAGATAAGGTATACAGGGTCACTTAGTGTACTTGTTTATTGTTGATTTTGATAGTAACGGTTTTAACCCTAACTCCCTAGCATGATTTACCAGGAACCATACCCATCCTGGCAAATTCCAACACCATATGGGAAACTGCACGCACATATTTCTGATTTTGATTCTGGAGGTGTGCCAACCCAATGTAAAAGACTGTCAGTTTAGGGGTACTGTACCCATCCTAACAGATTCCGACAAAACATGCCGTTGGGGTTTGATGGGTTTAGTTCTGTTAGGGATTAAAGAAAGTTTCAGAGCATTTAGATGTTATTCGGCATGATGTCTTAAGAAAAACAGGTTAACATTGCTACATGAACACCACCATGTTTGGTAAATAGTTTGGTAAATATTTTAACATTTTTGGCTCAAATCCCCCCCCCCATTACCCCAAGTAATTAGTTGAGAACAGTACAGACCATTCTAAATTTCGGAAGTTTAATGTAACATTTTAAAAAGTTTGACACTTTCCATCAGCTAGCGGATTTCTTAAAATAGCACTAAGACTTGAATTAATATGCCTAAACTGCAAGTTTAGAGTGCAGAGATGAAACTTTTCTGATTTTCATCGGAATCCGACTTTTTATGAATTTTCCAACGAAATTTTTGATTTTCTTACAATGTGTCCCACAAAATTTGATTTTGTAACGATTTTTTTCACAAAATGTCATTTTATTTCAATCATAATTTCGAAGAAAAGTCAATGAAAAGTTGATGGAAATGGCACGTTAAAATCATCGCAAACGTAGTTTTAATCTCTTTCACCAGTCGTTATTGGAGTGTTTCATCAGTAGAAACACAGGCCATAACACTGATCGGAGCCTTCTCCGGCTGGACAAAAGGTTAAACATTGACAGGTGACATGGAAAAATAACTGTGTCGCACGTGCGTGTGAAGATGATATGCAATGGTACCAGCGTACCTACCGCACCGTACCATCCGCTAGCACATGGCCGGTCGGGAACGGGTAGCCTTGTGAATGATCCAGTGGATAAAATCATTATGTTGTGCGATTTTCGGAGGTTTCAGATTTAGTTGTACAAAATGCAATGCTTTAACCTAGGGGGTATGCAAAATCGTATTAAAATTGGAGGATTCAGGACTGTTAGGGTTAAAAATCGTGATGATTATCTCGAGAATAGCGAAGAGAGCATTAGCGAAACATTTCACTGGCATTTGTTGGAAGAGAAAGACCATAATGTGCCTATCAATTGTTTCCCCCACCCCTCCCCTCCCGGGTAAAATTTTGTTGGAATCAAAATAAAGAAGGAGTCGGTGTCCAGAAATTGGGTATGAAGTGTATGGTACATGCACGTGCATGTAACTGTAGCGTGGCCCAGATTTCGGTCACGTATTTTTGTTTGGCCTATTTTCCGATTTTTTTCGCCTTATGCCAGTTTCATCTCTGCCCGAGCCAAAGGCGAGGGTAATTATCAGCACCCAGACTCCAAGAGGTCTTAAACAGAGTGATTAATACCGAGTCGACCAAGCACATATTTATTCCCATTCATAAATACCTTTTCGGTCAAAAAAATCAAAACTTTTCGGTCAAATAACTACGATATTGTTCAACAAGTTTACTTCATGTGTTTTGAAACACCCCTCTAGCTAAATAATGGAGTGTCCAGCTAGCGAGTAAGCTGTAAAACAACTCCCTTTATGAAGATAAAACAACTCCCTTTATGAAGATTGGCTTGCGCGTACTGCGCGATGTCGCACACAATGCACCTGGGACGTTGCGTTGTGAATTTAGGACTATAAAATTCTGACTCACCGGTAGTATTGCGCATGCCTACGTGAGGATTGTGAACGTTCAACCAATAAAATGGTAAGAGGCACTGGATTTTTAGGAGTCCAAATTTCATGTGACACTTTAAAAGTGTTTAAGACCAGCTAGCCATGTCTTTATCATCCGTTTAAGACTGGCCACATGACAGGCTCTCGACCAATAGGAATGGGTAAACTGTCTTACGTATTTATAAATTATAAATATAATGGTAAATACCATCCTACTGCTCAGAAACATTCTGAGGACTTAAAATAAATATTGATAATAATAGCATTCTGGTTACTCTGAAGCAAACCCTTTTAATAATGCATTATGTCCAAATGTCACAAAATGTTCCCCAACTTCATGGAAAGAAAAGAAAGTTACATTGTATTAATTAAATTCATCTTACAGGAAGAAGACAACCTGGTACCCGCTAATTGTAGAGACAAATAAGGCCCTGGGTCTGAATGACTTGGCTAGTGGCTGAAATAACAAACGGGTGTATGGGAAGAGGGCGATGGGCACGAGTGAAGCCGTAGCCAAGTTGGCTGACACCATGCATGTGACAACAACCTTTCAGCAAGCAAAAGTGTTTGCTATTAAAAGAGCATGTGAAAGCTCTATCTTGGCATTCTCTTACAGATTAAAGCGAGGTGTGAAATGGTTATGAATGTAATGTACTTCTTGTCAATTCTGAACAAACATTCATTTACTGTAAATTGTCAATAAAAAAATGTGGTAAATCTAAATAATAGGCCTATGCCTAGCCTGCCTAGTGTGCTTTTTCCTTGTATATAATTTGTATAGTGCTTTTGATCTTTGTAAAACAGGCACAGTAGTTTCTTTGTGAAATGTCGGAGACATTATTTCCCTTCGGCTAGTGGGACGACCCCCCCCCCCCCCCCCCCCCGACAAATGGAAAGATATCAAATTATTAGAGGCTATGGTGCGTTCGCTTAGCTTCCTGTGTATACACCGGGGTTACACCCGGGAAGCCACGAGATGAGGCTATTGACACTGTGGTGTATTTGCTTAGGCACTCTTGAAAGTTAAGGTCAAAGTTTTTTGGGGGCGCAACTTTAAAGTCTGCTTCACTTGCACATATTTAGTTTTATCACTGTAACGAGATCAATAATCGCTGACATCGGAGTACATGCTCTGAATTATTCATTATTACTGAATCCAATGCAGCACCATTAATAACTGGCAATATTTGTGTCATAAATCTCTCCACTATACTCACTTTGCATTCAAGTTTTTGCCATCTTTAGTCTTTCTATCATGCTTCATCGCTTCAAGGCACCATATAACCCCACTTCACTGTTGGAATCCCTCAGACTCCTGACGACAGGCAGAATATATTGTCCAAAACGTTGAGTACCCTCCGGTTCTTTTCAGAACCACACATACTCACAGAAGAGATTTTGCCACATGGTGCTACTGCAACAACTTCAAATCTCATTTAGTCTTCCTATCAACGAAACCGTCTGCTTACGTCAAACACACCCGGGCAGCAACCAGAGACCTGCTTGCGAACTGGGGAAGTGGTGTACCGTGACACCGGAGCAAACACGAGGATCGCATGATGGATAATCGAACAGGCTCCTGAAAGTTTTACTTACTGTAAGCTAAACGAATGCACCCGTAGCCAATCAAAAGACAAAGTCATTAAGACGCAACTGATTATGTTCTCGCTTGGTGTAATGGTCTACAACGTGGCCAGTGGGGCGAAATTCATAGCTATCTGGTTAAGCTTCAAAAGACCAGCTTCCTGAATGTGTTGTTTGTACCGCCTGAAAGACGTAAAATCCTATACACCTACGTTGGTTCTGTTCGCTAGTACCCCCTGTTTGTTCTGCCCCTTAATAGGTAAGAGTGAATGTATTGTTTTTAGTTTTTCGTGGGAGTGCACTAGCGGCACATTTTGCACGCAAGTCTGATGATAAATTGACCTTCCGGAATCTGGATTGTGTTGTTTAAACCGCATGGAAGACGCAAAATTCGAATTATCAGTTTTAGTGGTAAAAACCTTGTGGTAGGATACGGGCGATTCACAATGCAGTGCGCCACCAAGAGTTTGCCACAGAGAGTTCATTTTTCCCTGTGCATTGTTGGAGATGGTCGACAAATTCGCAGCACCGGACATTTGAAATTGTTAGTTTTTTCCATTCAGTAGTTTCGTAAGCGTATGTTTCGAGGATCTGTTTGCCCTTTTCTTTTCTTCTTATCAATATGGTGTTTTCTGTAAGGTGAAAGAACGCTATGCTCCAATCTATAACATATTAGTACGGAAGCGTATTTAGGACATGACCGAAAATATTTTTTAGGCCCACTACTTCACCCGGGCGGATTACTATTTCGCCCGGGCGGATTACTATTCCGCCCGGGCTGACCGGGCTGATTACTATTCCGCCCGGGCGGATTACTAATTCACCCGGGCAGACTACTAATTCGCCAGGGCAGATTACTAATTCTCCCGGCCGGGCAGACTACTAATTCGCCCGGGCAAATTAGTAATCCGTCCGGGCGAAATAGTAATCCGCCCGGGCGACATAGTAATTCGCCCGGGCGAATAAGTAATCCGCCCGGGCGAATTAAACTCCACCCGTGATGTCACCCTATTGTCCTAGCGCTCCATTATTTTGCACGAATGGAGCGTTGGAGGCGATACCTCTCCATTCTTTTGGAGGGTAATAATGCCTCCATCACTCCATTCCTACAAAATAATGGAGCAGGAAATAAAGAAACACCAAAAATTACACAATTATAGTTTTGCACAGTTGCAACTTTACTACACCTTTTGTCAATGATATTTCTTATATATTTCGTACAATGCTTAATACGTAAGTCAAGAACCATTTTTTTTTCGCACAGAATTTTCTCATAAGTCCTACACCGTTTCTCAAGTGGAATTTTATGCATTATTCGTACGATTACGTGAAATTTAGAACCATTTATGTTTCTTATATAGCATGCTACACCGTTTCTCAAATAGAATTTTATGCATTTTCTTATACAATTCCTTACAGTGTTAAGGCGAAAGTCGCGTACCATTTTTTTTTCTTTTACAGAATGTTTGTATATAGTAATGTTACATGCAACAATGTTTTGACAAGGTTCGCAGTACAGTTTATATCTCGATCTTGTTCCTGGGTTTCAATGCTAGCATGCAGTCCTAGAAATTCTTGATCGGCAAGAACTCATCATCCTGAAAAAATGTGTAGGTCTTTTCCATGGTGTCCAAGAACATTTGAAGAAAAATCACAAGTTCGTGCAATGTAAACCCGGAAGACTTGTAGCCGTTTTGCTTAAAAAATTAACCAAAATCTTAATCTTGCAATTTTGAGTGGTTTTAGCTCGTCCTTCCTTGTCCAATGATGAGTAGTTATAGTCTCGAGTTGCGTTGGTTACGAAGTAGTCCGACTGGAGACTGCCCGCTAGTTTGGACCTTCTTCGTAACACTATCCACAGTCTGTAAAGCCAGAATTAGAAGAAAACAAAATCAGAAAAGTAGTTTTTGGGTCAAACAATTAGACGGAAGCATAAGGTCATATTCCTGTAAATCCACTTAAGTCTTACAAAGCCGTAAAAGGCACAGGGTAGCTTTGACAATTGCAAAGTGACGACACAGAGAGCTTCGAAATAGAACAGTCTTAGTGCAAACACGATTTCTGAATAAACTTCATCAGATAGCAAATTAAACAATAAAGCTTAATGTATCTGACATTATCATGCTAAAAATACAACATTTAAATTTTTGATTTTATTAGCTGTTATTTTTACTTGACAAAAAGGGTAACTTTTTACCTTTATACTCATACATGCAATCTTCATATTCATTTGGAGTGTCGAAATGAACTTTTATATGTCACAGGCAAAGTTTGAAGCAGCCAGTAAATTATCATCCGATATATCCACGGAGCTAGTTTCAGCACCTATCAAGGACGGTTTCCTGGCCCGCTATAATTCCACTGTATCCCACGTACGGCATTATTTCCTGGGGACGGATCTTCCAATACTATATATATCCTAAACCAAATAGATCTCGAGCCCACTCGGCTAAAAAGTCAAAGAAATCATGATGATCTACCAGTAGACACCGTTTTTCTTCATCAGAGTCTGACGAGGATTTGTCCAGGTTATAAATAAAAAATTTGTCCAATAATAAATCACCGAGAAGTTATTCCACAAGCCTAATTTCTACAAGCATTCCACTTAATTTCAGCATCATTATCAGCATCATTAATGGACATTTTCCCACACACTTTTATACCCATCATGAGGAGTTTTCAGGTTCCTATACAGCCATATGGTTGCGAAGGCGAAGCGTGGCCCCTTGATAAGCAAAGTTAATCCGATTACGTACTTAGACGCTATAACAGAGCAGTGAAATTCTTGAACCCCCAAAACATGGCCTTTTAAACGTTTTGTTTCTCAGAAAATATGCTCAGTATGATTGAAATGTTAAATTATAACGGAAGAAGAAATTCTAAACTTCATGTCAGTGAAAAAATCACTGTCATCGATGCCGAAACCTGAATACTGGTTACTGGTAAAGCTGACCTTTAAGTTGGGAAGAAATTGTTTGAAAATGTCCCCAAATCTATGTATTTATTTCAATTCCTAGGAATTTCATAAAGTTGTTATTTCAAGAGCAGTTGAACACTTCTATCATCTTAGTATATTCCGAATTTCAGCTTAATCTGTTGTTGTTAATGCTAGTGTTACACCTTGAACTATCTCCATGGAAAATTTCGATGAGGATTTTTTGCCGACCACACCACGCGCATGGTTTTCAGCAAAGATTCTATAGCACTGTAGGCGCTATAGTTGACCGATTTCGGCCTGGCAACACAATGGACGATCACATATTAGCATATTCATTAGCGTCACTCGGCGTGACTTGGCGTGGGTCTCAGTATTGTCCAATGGAAACCGGCAAAAAGGGTGATATTTATTAATTAATAACTTGTGAAGAAGGCTTTCTGCAAATTTTTACTGCACACCATAAGATTGACAGATATTGCAAACACCAGTGTTACAACTTTTAAAAATACACGTAGCCAGGCCTTTTTTTCCAATTTCAACGAAAAGTAATGAACATATCACAACGATTTTGAGCACTTACTTGGATCATTATAAGGGAAATTAACCCTGAAAGTTGCATGAAGATACGGTCTTCCAAACGGGAGAAATTAATTTTCAAAGATTTCGCCCACCGACGTGAACATGTGGTTTCATTCAATTTTTTTAGAAATTGCCCTTTAATAATAATAATAATAATAATCGGCATTTAAGAACGCTCTTTTTAGTAAACTAAATCACAGCGCTTTGCAACCACACGGCTGTATAATGTCCATCATCCACAAAACTCAATTGAGTATTCAGAAATTTCCAAACAGTTCTGCCTGGTCATGTATATTTCATTAAAAAGGCACTTCTAATTTCAAAACATCAGCACTGATCCTTGTGAAACTTAGATGCAAAATGCTTGAATGTTTGTTTGATTTATTGATGGGCTTTCATACAAGGTGGAGATTGGAGATTTCAGTGGTATTTGAAGCAAACAAAGTGCATCCTTATCCTGTACAAATGATCCTATATGCCTTTAATTTAAGAAAGTTTTGGTATTGCTTTGGGTTGAAGGGTAATGATTCATGTATGTGAAAAAGAACTACATGATTGTTGAACAATATTTCTTTAAAAAAGTGACTTTTTAAAGACACTTGAAAAGGACTTACTACCATTCAAAAGCATGTGCTACCTCTGTGTACAAAGTAAATGTTAAAGTTGAAAGTAGTTGATGTTCAGTATAGTACGAAATACAAGGTAAACCCAAAATGCCCCCGCTAGGTTGTAAACAAATTGTTTTATATGTGACTTTTACAGCCTGTGGCACCCCATGCAGAACTCAGAGTGTGGTATGCTTCAGACTATGCTCATACCATGAATGTGACATTACTGTGTGCAAATAAACCAGGTAAGATGATGTTTCTATGTATAGATCGTATGCGGAACAGCCATCTTGGAGGACATCTTTTGTTATTTATTTCAGTACAATGAATGCATAAAAGGTTAATTCATGCATAACAGCAAAACAAAGGCATTTGTCCTCTTAGATGGCTGATGTGCAAAAGGTCTGTTACTATTTCTTTCACCAAGTTTTCCCCATGGACAAATGATGTATTGGTTTAATATGACACAACTGTTGCCAAGTTTCTCTTTTGATCCAAATAGTACTTTACACTTAGCTTGCTGTCTCATAAATTGTAAGTATAAATTGTATCAAAATGTACTGAATATTTCATAAAGAGGCAACTACAAGGAAACATTGCCTCTATGAAAGAGGCCAAAATCAATACTGTGACAAGCACTATGACCTGGACGGCAAAGGACAGACAAAATATTTTTTGCTGTTTATGTGGACTTGCCCACGTCCACGCAAGGCTTCCCCCTCTCTGGAAACAGGTTTAGAGAGAATTTTGGGGTTAGGGTTATCTGTCGCATAATGAAGGTGAACACTCAAGGAAATCATGATAAAAAAAGATTTGGTTTGAGTGTTAACAGTGTGAGTAAAACAATGTTTTTCTCCGTTATTTTCGCCGGGTTTTTCTACACGAAAACAACGGAATTTCCACAATAGGTATGTAAGCGTTTGTTTATGGTGTAAATCGAGGACACACGTGCAACATCATCGGTGTATCGAGGACAAGAACCAAATCGAGGACGACCTTGATTAGAAAACGTGTACAAAACCAATGAGAGCTGTTGTGAAAAAGTTAAATGTACAAACAAAGGAAAAGGGAAGAGGAACACAAAATCCTTGGTCCACTTCACTCTACTTACCTGTAGAGCAATACTACTTATGCATATTCCCCCTACCGGCAGGTATTTTACGCTAAGAGTTATATACAATAGCGCCCTCTGGCGCCCTACCCATAATACCCCGCGGCAAGCGTGCCTCTTGAGCGTCCTCTTTTCTCTTAGCGGCAGGTGGGGTATGACGTATAAAAATACGCTCCGTATTTTCATTGTATTTTGATACCATTTTGTGCTTTTTAAGAGAAGTATTTGATTAGAGAAAGTGTAGTAGAGTATAGTAAAGGTAAAGGTAAAGGGGATGAACCTGTGTTCACAGGAACAGAGTGCCCATCTCTCTTTCGTTAGCGATTGGGCCAGACTCGTATGCTGCTGTGGGGGGATCGCCACACCACCTCCACACCGAGTCTGTTACCTTCCCAGCATTGAATAATGCCGGTACCCATTTAACACCTGGGTTGAGAGGAGTACTTGAGGTAAAGTGCCTTACTCAAAAGCACAACACGCATGGCCACAGTGGGGCTCGAACCCACAACACGTGCCCTCTATATAGAGTATAGTTTCGTCTTATTGAGTGATAAGTTCATTATTATGAAGCGTTTGGGGAGAACCGTCCCACGGGACGGACCGAGTTCTCTGCTGGTATCGCTCCGTCGTTACCACAGCCGAAGTCCCTCGTCCAGCACCCTCAGCCACTGCTGGCTTGGGGCATTGGCAGTTCCGCTGACCAGGACCTCGGTCTCCTTCTCCGGTCAATTCAGGCAGGACACCCAAACAGAAGGCACACTCCGGCAAGGTTCCTCCAAAACATACTTCCTGTACCGAAGTGAAGCCTAAAAAGGGCCGACAGGGCAAGCGTGGCTCGGGTACGAGCGCCGCTATAGCCCCCGGCTCTTCCCCGAACGCTGGGCAGCCCGAGGGGACTAGCCGCCATGCTCCAGTGGGCTCTAGTCACCCGTGCCCTCCTGACACAGTGCCGAGTACCACTGGTTGCCAGGACGGGCTGTTGCACGGGCTATCAAACCGACCAGCGCTCACTCAGCCCACGGGGCCTGAAGCGCTGTCGGCCGGGCAGGTTATAAGCGACGTGGAGCCGGTCGCCCGGGGATATCCCGGCCCGACGGCCCCCGGTCTATCTTGCTCTGAGGGACCATTCTCGTCATCGGACTTTTTCCATTGTTCGGGGGTCCCGGTGCCCAAGGTGTCTTCTGACTTGTCGTCAGACACTCCAGGGCGTTCTTCAAAGAAGAAGAGCAAGAAGAAGAAAGCTGATCGCCGATCACGCTGTTCTTCTTCGGATTCTGACGGCTCCTCTGACCGGTCCCACCGGGGCAAACGCTCCCGACGTGAGGACTCGATTTCGAGGTCTAATTTCCTGCAGGCATTTCAGTCTATTTCAGCTACGCTATCGGCTATGTCTGCAGGCCGCCAGGCGGGCCTATTGGTGGCCCCCCTGAAGCGGCGAGCTACGCCCCACAACCATCGGTTGTTGGTCTCGCCTCACAATCTTCAGTCACCGGTCACGGTTGGGTGGCCCGTGAACAACGGGACATACCGCACACGGTTAGCCTTGCTCCGGAGTCCCCGCCTGCAGTGAATGCTTCACAGTCATTGTTCATTGGTCACGGTTGGGTGGCCCAAGCACAACGAGATATACCACGCGTGGTTGATTGTACATCGGAGGTCGGCCCGCAGCGAATGCCTCATGTGCGTCGGCCGTGGGCCGCGGTTGGATGGACCAGGGACAACGGGACCTACCGCACACAGTTAGCCTTGCGCCGGGATCCCCGCCTGTGTTGAGTATTCACCCATCGATGTCTGTTGTCTCTGAGGGAGTTGCACAGCCACCACTGCGTGGTTCTGTACAATTTACCCCTCCAAACGGCTCTCGTTCACCAGAGTCTACTCGGCCCTCACAATCGGCTGATTCATCCGATGATGACGAAGAACCAGACCAATTACACCGGCTGTCCATCACTGAAACGGAACTTCGTTTAGTACAGAGAGACATGATACGGGTACTTAAATTACCCTTTGCCGATGAGCCCGCTCCGACCGATCATAAATCATTCAAGCGTCGGACGGGCTCCACATCTAACAGTGACAAAGTGTTCCCCAATCTTCCGTTGGATCAAGTATGTGTGAAACACATCGACAACATTATGTCAACAAATGGCGTCCATTCCTTAGACGGGAACAGGATTACTATTGTTTCCCGCAGGAAGATTTTGCCAAATTTTTCACCACGCCTTCCCTCCCCGACGCAGCAAAAGATAAGCTGGCGGCCGATGAGGGGAATTCGTCTTCCAGCCGGCCCTTTGTGGACAAGACGAGGGGCAAGCTTGAAGACACTTTGAAGAAGATAGACTCAGCTTCCCGTTTTGGCTTGCGTTCAACTTCATTCTTGCTTCTCCTCATGGAGTATTTAGCCTTAGGCTATGAGGACGAATCGCCGATTCCAGCGGACATGCTGACTGCGGCCCTTCATTGCCTTAACCATGGCCTTCGCACCGTGCTTGACCAGTTCGCATGCGTGTCGGCCTTGGCAACCTCCGCCCGCCGGGGTAACGTGCTTGACGCACTTTTCCTCCCATCGCGGGGTGCTCGCAAGAGACTTGAAACCCTCCCTTTGTCGGGTAAAGATCTCTTTGCTGGGAAATTCGAGGAACATATGAGAGATGAAGCCAAGCATCTGAAGGCTACTGAAAAGATCAACTTCAAGAAGCCTCCAGCCCCAGCGACCAAAGGACAACAGAATAAAGCCAAAACGTTGTTTGTTATCCCTCGATGCAAACCACTGAAATCTAGTCGTGGTGGTTTTCGTGGCCGCACCGATAACAATTCCGGTGTGCGTGCCACGCAGACTCACATGTTCTCCGGACAGCAATGGCCGCAATCCGGCTGCGGCTTCCGGGCGTCTTGAGCACCCCCCCCCCCCACCTCTCAACCTCACCCCGAGTCTTCACGCGGTTAGTGAAGACAGTCGGGGCCGCACTACGGAAACAAGGGGTGATGATTTTCATGTACCTCGACAACTGGATCATCGTGGGTCCATCTCAGACGGCCACGTCAGCGGCACTCAACCGGACATGGCGTCTTGCGTCGGATCTCGGGTTTATCATCAACACCGAGAAGTCCCACCAACTTCCGTCCCAGTTCCCATTCTTTCTTGGAGCATCACTCGACCTCAAGAAAAGATTGGCTCGTCCTACAGAGGAACGGATTGTAAACCTTCAGAAATGTGTATCCCTGGCAGGCCTTTCTCAACGAGCTGCAGCCATTGCAGCCGGCAGCAGACGAGCATCGACCAGGAAAATTTATGACAGTAGACTACGCCATTTTTACAGATGGTGTAGAAGCCGATCTCTGCATCCCTCTGATACTTCTGTAGGGGAGGTTGCAGACTTCCTGGTATACCTTTTTGAAGGTAGCCTTACTACTGCCACGATTAAGAATTATCGTTCAGCCATAGCAGCTATTCATGGTGGCTTTACGGATGGTTCTTCAGTATCAAATAACCAAGCTCTCAGCCAAGTCCTCAGGGGAATGTTTGTTTCACGCCCCCTGATGCGTAGGTTATTACCAACATGGGATCTCTTCAGTGTTTTATCAAACTTAACGAGACCCCCATTTGAACCGATTGTTGCAACTGTCCATTAGGGTTGCCTTTCTGTTAGAAGTGACTACGTCTAGACGCCGTAGCAAACTGCATTCACGTACCGTAGAGACAGGTCACATCCGGTGGGAACCGGGGGGTGTGCGCTTGATCCCTAAAGCAGGGTTTTTGACAAAGAATCAGTCGGAGGATTTTTCTTCTCCTGACATCATCGATGAATCGAGGACAGGAACCGAATCGAGGACGACCTCGATTAGAAATCGTGTACAAAACCAATGAGAGCTGTTGCAAAAAACTTACAGTATAAACAAAGGAAAAGGGAAGAGGAACAATAAAAAATCCTTGATTTACACCATAAACAAACGTGCTAGTGTATGTGTATGTGCTTCTCGTTTTATAGGGTGGGGTGGGATGGGAGTAGGGGTTGGGTGAAAATGGGTAGGGGGAGGGTTGTGGTGGGTGGGGGAGGGGTTGGGGTGGGGAGTTGGAGTAGGGGTTGTTGGTTGGAGTAGGGGTGGGTGGGGGATCCAAGGTAGGGGTGGGGT